CCCCCCCCCCCCTACAAGTAAAACACACACCTTAATCAGATCCGCAGCCAGCTTGAGCACATTATTGGCCAAAATCAACTGGTCCTTCTTGTGCGGCTTCTGCTCCATGCGCAGGTACAAATTGATCTGCTCCGTGATGAGCACGGAAATGTCGCGGTACTTGGAATTGATTTTCACGCCCAGCGTCATGAACCGGAGCAGGAAAACGGCGAAGGCGAGACACATCACAACGGCGTCCGTGTACGCCGACACAGAGGCGGCCGGCAAAAGCAGCAACGAAGACATGGCTTCTTCTTCACTACTGCCGCCACCGCCGCCGCCGCCGTGATCGTCCTCGTTCTCGTCAATCGACGACGACGACGAAGACGACGGCTTCTCCGACTGCGCTCGCAGCATGTCCACGCAAATGCCGGTCATCAGGGCCAAGGTCGCCACAAATGCCGCCGACACAATCACATCCACTGACCGCTGTGGCCCGTGCCTCTGAAACGAGTCATGACCGAAGAAAAACTCCATCTTTCAAATGTTCTTCGACGCGTCAATTAATCGTTAAAAAAAATTTGTCGAATTTAAAGAAATGTCCCACTACAAGGAACTAAAAAATTTAACGCGATAATTGGGCTTAACCAAAATGAATTTTCCAAATTTAAAGAACAGACTCAGTACAATGAACTAGATGCTATAATTAGGCGTACAAAATTCAATGTCCCTAAATGTAAATAAATGTCTCACTACGAAGAACTAGAAAAATGCAACGCGTTACTTGGGCGTAAAAATTTTTATTATCCAAAATTGAAGAAAAGTCTCAGTACAAGGAACTAGAAAAACTTGCCGTTATGATTGGGTGTGAAATATATATTTTTAATTTAAAGGAATGTCTCACTACAAGGAAATGAAAAATTTAACGCATTAATTGGGCGTGACCAAATTTATTTTCTTCAAATTCAAAGAAAAGTCTCAGTACAAGGAACTACAAAAAATTTCACTTATGATTGGGCGTGAAATATATATTTTTAATTTAAAGAGATGTCTCACTACAAGGAAATAGAAAATTTAACGCGTTAATTGGGCATAACCAAATTTATTTTTTTCAAATTCAAAGAAAAGTCTCAGTACAAGGAACTGGGAAAGCTTGTTAAAATTCGGCGAAAAAAATTAATTTCTCCAAATTGAAATAAATGTCTCACTACAAGGAATTAGAAAAATGTTACGCGTTAATTGGACGTAAAAAATTTATTCGTTCCAAATTTAAAGAAAAGTCTCAGTACAAGGAACTAGAAGAACTTGATGCTATGATAGGGCGTAAAAAAAATTAATTTCTCCAAATTTGAAATCAAATTTAAAATCACGAATTCAAGCTGAAAACTAAAAATAAAATCCTGTTATCAATTCTTATCACAGTCTTCAAGTGAATTCCTGAAAAGAATCCTCGAATTTGAAAATTTAACCTCAACGAAAAACGCGCTACGCATTACAAAAGTTCCACATAACGAAAGGTACGTTATGAAGGGACCCACTGCATTTCAAATTACTATACAGTACTGTACTGCAAGAAAGGGGGTAAACGTGGACAATTTCAATTCCTGCAACTAGATGTCGCATCCGTCACAAACCTTCAAATAAGACCTCACAGACAACCAGGTCTTGATATTGCGCACTTTGCTGAGTCTGAAATGAGGCAGATCCCAGCGTTTCGCTCGCCTCGCCGAAGTCAAGCAATGAAACATCTTCGCCAACATGTATCTCTATAAAGAAAAAAAAAGAAGAAAGAAACCTTGATGCAATTGAAACTGAAAAAAAATTTAAATGAATTAATCGAGAAAAAATTAATTTTTTGCCTTACTCTTTTAAAGGTTCTCTCGGCCACGGACAACAGGAAGAAGGTGAGAAACGCCAAGATGAACCTCAAGCACATCAACATCACTACGGGACTATTCGCCAGCGCCCAAGACCTGTAATAAGAAAAAAATAAAAAATAAATTTTGTGCCAATCCTCTGCAATTTGTTTTGCAGGAAATCTCCGGAGTACCAGAGATTTGAGTTTTTTTTTCGAACGCAAAAATCACGTTTGACATTCGTCACTTTTTTTTTCCAATAAACAAGATTCAGAAAAATAACCGTTGTCATACAGTTGAACCTTTTTCAGGGATATTGACAAATGGAGACAGAAAGTTTGAGACAGGGACAAATTGAGACAAAAACTATCTTGATGAGGAAAACTCACTTGACAGTGATGATGGACAAAAAGGAGAAACACTTTGGGATCATGGACTTTTCTCAAAACAGTGCAATTTTTTTCTTCTTTCATTTTCACACCTTAAACATAAGATAATAGGGTCCAGAAAAACAATAATTGTTGACGGGTTTCGAGGAAGAAAAGAACCCCGTGCCAATGGCAAAAAGGACGGAACCCACGCACCCGACCAAAGAAGAAGACGAGGCAATGAAACGCAAGTCGGCAAACCGGTCTAGCCCGGGCCAGAGTTGGTCCAGGTGCACGTCCGTCATGCTTAAACCGGCCCCAGCGACCCGAACTGCAGCCGGGATCAATGCCAATACACAGGAAAACATCACACCTGGAACGAAACGAGAAAAACCAAAAAAAAAAAACCATGCGAAAATCATTGAAATTTCAGATGGGAAACATTTTCCAAGGCATTTGTTAGCGAAGAAATTTGACTAATTCTTTCAATTTCTAATTGAAGCGAGCGCACTCATATTTTTGGTCGAGTAAAAAATCGTTTTCGAAGTAAAGTCTTCAAAATAATAAAATAATAATAAATAGATAATAGTAAATAATAATAAATAATAGTCTTAAAATGTTTAATACCTCACCGTTAAACAAATATTTATTTCAGAATTCATAAAAATTTCCGAGGAATTCTTTATTGTGTCAAGCCTAGCTTTCCGCATATTTTCTTGCCAACTTTTATTTTTCATGTTTCACGTCAAACAAACATTTATTTCACACTTCATTTCAAAATTCATGCAATTTTCCCAGGACTTCGCCTTGAGAAAATTTTTCAGAATTCATGAAAATTTAAAAGTAATTTCCATCGGGAAAAGTAACTACATAGTTTTATTTTTCTCGTTGATGAAGACGTTTCCATTTTCATAATACGGTACTTTCAAGCACCGTTTTTCGAGTACCGGTACTCAATCAAAAATATTTCAATATTCTGCGACAAACGAACATTTATGTTGCCATTTATTCCGGAATTCATAAAAATTCCCGAGGAATCATTTACTGCATTTAGCTCAATATCACTCGAAGAATGAACTTACTCAATCACGGAACTGCGGAATATTTCTTGCAATTTCTTTGGAACTCAAAAAGAACTTCTTCAAATTCTACTTCAATTACTGTTTTTTTT